AAGACTTCTTTTGAAGTCGCAATTTGTAAAGATGCTAGGTGGAACATAAAATAGGCGTAATTTGTTGAATGTGAATTATATAAGGATATTTTGATTTTGTAAAGATGTCTTCAAACTAGCAAAATGAGAGAGAGGAAGTGTAAGGATCTAGATCACATTAGATGCATTAAGAGAGAAGATAAGAGGATCTCCGTAAAAGATGACGAGGTCAACGAAAGGTGGAGAATTTGTTTTCAAAATTTGTTAAATAAAGAACACTATAAGAACACAACATTGAGAAACCTTTGACATAAATGAGGGCAGAGGTCATAGTTACATTTGTGGAATTAGGATAAAGTGAAAGAAGCTTTGAGATAGATGAAGATAGAGAAGGCCTTAAGACCAGATGGTATCCCGATAGAGATTTGGAAGTACATGGGGAGATTGGCATATGATGCCTTACCATATTGTTCAATAAAGTGTTGAGAACAAAGAAAATGGCAAACGAATGAAAAAAATTAATGTGGTACCTATTTACAAGAACAAAGGAGACATACAGAATTGTACGAACTATCGAGGGACTAAACGTATGCACCACATTATGAAGCTGTGGAAGAGAGTGGTTGAGCAAAGACCAAGGCGTGAAATGAGTATAGCAGAAAATTAGTTCAGTTTTATGTCAGGAAAGTCAACTATCGAAGCCATTTTCCTACTTAGGCAACAAATTGAGAAGTTTAAGGCGAAGGGAAATACCACCACTTGGTCTTTATTGATTTAGAGAAGGCACACGATAAGGTACCTAAAGATTTTTCTTTTGGTGGACCAGAGGCTATGTCATAAATTCTTCAATATTGTAAACAATGAGGTAATAAGCTTTGCCTCTCTAAAGGTTATTCCAGATTTGGTGCTTGTTGGAAGCAGGTTCCCATAGCTACCTTAATTTAATTTGCTTTACCCCAAGAACTCAAGACAAAGTAACCAGATTCAACTGATAGGTGGCAGGGCTTATGTTTTCGAGAAGTCTTAGCTTCTACAAATTAACCGTTTTGCTCTTGTCATAAGGAATTCCTTTTAGTGGATAACAGCCAAAAACACTCCAAAAAAGTTCCAAAAAGCTGCAATTCTTCAGCCTTTTGGCTCATAGATGAAAGTTTGTAGTTGTTCAGCCAAAGTCGTGTGTAGAAAGATAATGGTATTAGTGATATCATAGCAAGCAAAAAGTGAAGTTCCAACCTCTTTGAACATGATCTCTTCTCTGCAAAAATGATCCTCAAACTCTCATATGAGCTTTTCTCCATATGCCCAAACAGGTCTCTCAAGAAATTCCAACTAAAACTCACAAAAATAAATTGTCTCATGCATGACACTTACATGAGGAATGTTTTAAGAAAACCCATACTTCCACATGCCAAACAATTCAACAAAACTCTCAAATGGTGTTGCATCAGCTGCAAAAGTAAAGATCAAATTTGGGTGCGTATATCTTGCAACCAGACTTGATCACTCAACCCTCCAAATAAAATTGGACCGAGGCTGTTTCGACCATATGCGACTCTTTTATTACCGTAAGCACATATTTCATCCGATACTCAAGAACAAGGTGCCACGACTTGCCTTAGCCATTTTACTCACCCATTGGCAAAGGCAAGTTACTCGGGTATAACCAAGTAACTCACCCGATTTAAAAAGAAAGAAAAAAAAACGAAAAGGACTTGCCTTAGCCATTTTACTCACCCATTGGCAAAGGCGAGTTACTCGGGTATGACCAAGTAACTCACCCGATTTAAAAAAAAAAAAAAAACGAAAAGAAGAAGATGATGAAGTAGTAAATATTAGATGACTTACCCATTTCTTACAACAAACTTGAAAGGGCATCATCGTGGTGCGACCCTTTTGAAAGATACCTGGGAATCTGGGATCAAACCCCCCATCTGCACTTTACCTTTAGAACTCCTTTAAAAAAATATGGAAAAATAAAACAGAAATAAAACCCTTTCTAAATCCCATCACCCACATGGCACTAGAGACACCAGCTTTTGCCCCATTCCCCCCATTGTTGCTTCATGCCCCCTGAAATCTTTCTCTCTCCTGCTTCTCATATTCCTCCAGTAGCTTTCTCTCTTCTATTTCTAAGCTCTTCCTTTGTTTTTTTCCTGAACTTTCTCTCTCCAAGCTCTTCAACAGCTCACTCTCTTCTCTCTCTAAGTTTTTGGCATCAGTGGGAGTGATGCAAGAGGAAGAGAGAGAGAGAGTTTTATGGGTCGCCTCTATTCTCACCAAAATTTCAGGATGCCTCTCCCTCCCTCCCTCCCTCCCTCCCTCCCTCCCTCTCTCTCAACTCTTTATTTCTCTAAAAGTTTAGCTGGAAAGTAAGATATCAGTCAGAACATAGGATAACTTCACTGGAAGTGCTGAATCTTTGACCGGAAAATGATTTATGGACTACAAAACTCTCTTGATTCTTGCCAGAGTTAGAGAATGCCAAAGGTAAAGAATGCAGGGGGGGAAGATGGGGTAGAAAATGGGAGTTCAAAATCACCGGAAAATGATTCAGGTGATTAGAAAGTTGTCGGAAAAGGAGAAAAACCGAATGTTCCATGACTTCATCCAACCTGTTTTTTTTTTAGATTTCCACTTTTCTATATTTTTAATGTTTCTTTCTATTTTTTTTATTTTTAAGGGTTTTTTTGTGGGGGACAAGTTGGGTGCCCAACTCGTCTCACCACTATGGCAGGGCCGAATTACTCAGCTGAACCTGACTGGACCTGACTCGGCCGAGTCATGTAACACTGCTCAAGAACCAAAAAGTAGTTCACACAAAACAGTTCATACACAAGATATCGACATAAAATGCACTCACTGGATTAACATAACATGCATGAGTGCGTAGTTCATGACTTGCACCAGAAAGTCAAGCACAATCCACACAATGTTACAAACTGTGTTGTCAACACAAATGAGCAGTGTACTTGTCTAAATGGAAAATGCAAACCAGAAGAGGAATCTAATTAGCTAAGTGATGTACCATGTGCAAAATGGAAGAAGAGACAGGTGAACATCTAGTCCTGTACTGTTCAGTAGCAATGCAGCTTTCGGCCTCAGTGCTGAAGTCCCTAAAACAGTCGTGCGTGACTATCACAGTTACCAACTCTTTCAAGCCTTTTACTTACCACCCTACCCAAAGGAGGGTAACCATTTGGTCCATCTGGCTTGAAATCAATTGCTGTATTTTCGAAGGGAAAGATGAATTGGTAAATGTAATCAAAGAAGGAATATTACTTCCCTTACTAGCTTTTGAGCTAAGGGAATAAAAGTACTCAGCGACTTCATGACGGTGGATTTTGCAACAAACTGGAAATCCACCCTACTCTGACAGCCAATGAGAATGACGAGATCCTCTATATGGCGATTTGGTGACCACCCCATAGTGAAGCCATCAAGCTCAACATCAAAGGGGACTCATTGGAAATCTGGGGCGTGCCAGTTACAACTGGCCATTCAGGAACTCCTCAGGGCAGATAATTAGCTCCTTCTCCTGTTCCCTGAGAATTGTTGACTCAACATTGGCTGAGGCTATGGCACTCCTAGTCCCAAGAGGCTATGACCCCTCTTGGGGTTCGCCACTAATTGTCATGGTAGGCAATCACAACGGTTTTCCTTGGGCGACCAAAGCCGCACCCTTCCCTTGGAGACTGGAATTGATTTTTTATCGTACATTTCACATATGCAAGCCTCTTTGAATCATCTTCCATCAGACATCATAGCAGGAGAGCAGGCAACTCTGCTGAGTAGGCGTCACTAGCACGACTATCACACAGCCATAGCAACAATGGACACCTTTTGAGGGATGGGCTGCCAAGGAGGTTCACCATCTTTTTTGATAGAGGATGCACCACTTCTCTTCTCTCCCAATTTTCTAAATATATATTAACTCCGTGCTCTCTCTCTTTCTCACCACTCCCCTACTTTCAAATATTACACGGCCTCCTTCCTGTTTTTGTACACAGACCATGTCACTATGAGCATCGGACCACCTCTCACTAGATTGACACCTCACGATGCTGTAATTATTACTATGTTAATGAAAGTCAAACTCCTCTCCCAAAAAAAGAAAGCGGAAAAATGCAAACACTAAAGTCGATCTTTTTTTATCGATAGTGTTAAATGTTATTACAATGGACAAAAGCAAGTATACAAACAAGGCAACACCATGAAGAAGAGATACACAACACAACCAAAATTTTCCCAATTGGGTAGTTTACCTTTCACCATATTACATAAAATCTACTGCCTCTCAAGCCTACTCTAATGCATAAGATACAGAAGCAGTATGAACGAATAAAAATTCAACCCCACCTGCTCTATCAGACTTATGATCCCTCCCAAAGACCCAAGGAAGAGAAGTGGTATCATAAATTGAAGAACAAGTATTACAAGTTGGCCTTTTCTTTACAATCACTTTCAGCACAATATTGGAAAGTCCACTGTTTTGTCCAATAGAACTCTGGGACCTCAAGTTTTCCAAGTACAAAGAAATGCAGTACTAGGTGAGCCCCTTAACCAAAACACCTTCCCTTGAACTCCCTCCTCACTACAAGAACAATACCAAAAGTTTTCCTTTTACTGACTGAAGATAACGTCCTTTGGAGATTGTGGGATCTCCCTACTTAGCCTTTGGAACAAGGATCATTCCAGACAGAGGTAGCTCAAATTGGTTAACAAGGTGTCCGATTAGATTTTATTTGCAAAGAGTGATAAACCTAATGTTCGACTAACAGTTAAAAAGGGGGGAAAAATGAAAGAAAAAGAAAAAGAAAAAGGAAAAGAAAGCATAGCCTTGAATTGTTAGGAGAATTGGGTTCTTCCTTACAAGAAAACTAGGAGTACAACCCTACCAAGTAATCACTTGTTCAATTGCACGAAAACATTATTGAATTGGCAACTATTTAATTCTTTGTTATTGATTGTTACCCAACAAGATAAATTGTGTAGCAAATTAAATATAAGGAAGAGGAGTTTACCTTGCTGGGGATCTGCCTTCTATAGAAGACCGAAGTGGGAGGAAACTCAGCCTTATAAGATGGAAGAGCATGAATATAAATTGAGAACAGCTTTTGATGGCCACTGAGAAACTTCTCCCAAAGGGGAGAGAGAGGGAGAGGACCTCTGGTCAAGAACATGAAAGCAACCTTAGGAACCCTCTCAAATGGGTACTTCTTTATTCGAGAAACCATCGAAGCCCTCCAAAATAGCTCTTCATCACTCATCTTGTGCATCAAATTAGTTGCAGGTCTGATCCAATGGTCAAGATTCTCTGTTATTGGCTGTTCGATGCAGGGCAAAATCCCAGGCTTTGAATTCAACATGCTCTGATTTCCAAAATATTTAGTCATATACATGCTAACTACTGTAAAAGCAGAACCCAATATCACGAACAACATGAAAAACTTGACAAACTTTACGGGCCATTCCCTTCTCGGTCTAGGACATGAATCTTTGCCTTCCTCCAATGAAGGAGCCTTATGCAGCATCTTCCAACAAACCCAAGAAGGTGGGGAAATGGAATTCTGTAGAAAAGCACTCAAAATTCAGAATTCAGCGTCTGCGTCTTGAAATTCTGGTTTTATAGACACCTATATGCGTTTATACCGGCAAAAACAGCAAGGATATGATATTTTTGCAAGACCCAAGTTGGGTTTTCCTCCAAACTCTTCATGAAACAAATTTCATCCTTTCTGTCACATAAAAACCTCTAGAAAATCATCGAAATGACGATAACAGGCCTGAAAACCGATTACCAGAAACACATTTAAATGGGGTTTGATGGATCTACAAAAGGAGGAGGCCATTGGGGAAGAATTCAATGCAAATGAGTCAACAGCGGCGGAAAAGACAAATAATTAAAAGGCAAAATTGGGCAAGAATTAATGGGCTTTTTGTGGAATATCTGAAATTAAGAAAGTGGGTTAAATTAGAGAAAAGCTGATCCGCCACCCCACCTAAATTTCAAAAGTTGGGCCTGGGTTGTAGAAATGAAGGGGGCAAAATTCCAAAGATTTGGGGGCTAGTAGACTTTAAATAAAGACTGGACTTTCTCTCTCCTCTCTCAAATGAGTAGTACTTTGTTGACTGTGCCCCCGCCTCTCTCCTCTGTCTCCCTTTGTTGGTGCCTAATTTTCCCTAGTTTTAGTGTGATGTTATTTGGTGAAAAGTGTGTAAAAACTCAATAATTTTAATGCATGTATTTATTTTTATTTTTTATTTTTTTGGTAATTTAGGGGCATGAATCGAAGTTGAGATACAATGTTGCTAAATGTCAACTGACGTTTTTTTTTATCAAAATTATGTTCTTCAAAGCCACACTTACCGATTGAAGGTATGAATTTTTTTTTCCCTTCTTTTTAAACTTAAACAAATAGATGCAGATTTCAGCTATTATTATACAATGTTGCTAAATGTCAACTGACGTTTTTTTTTATCAAAATTATGTTCTTCAAAGCCACACTTACCGATTGAAGGTATGAATTTTTTTTTCCCTTCTTTTTAAACTTAAACAAATAGATGCAGATTTCAGCTATTATTATGGAAAATCATTATGTAAATGAAATACTATTCATAGCAAATCATTTTGTAAAGTAAATGATTGTGTAAATGAAATACTATTTATAGCAAATCATTTTATAAAGTAAATCATTGTGTAAAGAAAATCATAAACATGCATATATCTGTTATTATTTGTGATAATTATTTTTATGAAAATGCTATTTATGGCACAAATTAGAGCTCAAAACATATACCGGTGAATGAGAAACGGAGAGTGTGACTACAGGACCAAGTAATTAATATTTTGTTTTGGATTATGTGATAACAAAGATAAACGATATAGAATAAATTGTAAACTTAAAGGAGTTCCCCAAACTTACGGCTCTGCATGCTATTTTCCCAAAAAAATAAAAAACCCTCTTCCATTTTCTCTATAAAAATCAGTTAGGGCCTCATCAGTATACAGTTAGGGCCTCTTCACAAAACAATATAGTTAGGGCTTTCTCTCAAACAACATCCTAAATGAGAGAGAAAAACCCCTTCAAAGTATCCCAAATCAGCATCACATCCCATCTTCCTTTTTTCTCTCTAAAAATTAGATAAAAATCTATCTTCAAAATATCCCAAATCACCATACCATCTTCCTTTTCTCTCTCTAAAAATCAGTAAAATCAGTGAGGGCTTCTTCCATTAAAGTTTGTGAAGTCGATTACCTCTTCCTTCTTCTTTTTCTCTCTCTATAAACCCGCCATGAGCCTAGGACTATTTTCTTTGGTTCCTTCTTTCTTCCTTCTTCATTCTTCTCTCTTTAAACCGTAAATTATGACGTGTGAAACCCAAATTTCTGCATGCCCATGACTATGGTCACTCCATAACTATGGTTAAAGTTTTATAAGTTTCTTGTGTGTTTGTAGATCTGCTTAATGCATATTATTTTTTAAATTTTAAATTTTATAATTAGATATTAAGTAGATTTTCAAATTATCATTGAAATTTTTAACAACAAACTTATATCATTCGATGAGCTTTTGAGGTGCACTTTACTTGGATTGTTTTAGGTTGCCACCTTATACAAACCACACCTTTTTTAAAAAGCATCATCACTCCAATTAAGTCTTACTTCAAAAAAAAAAATTACTCAGAACTTATCAATTATTTAACATTTTAACCAATTTCAATAATTCCAACTCATGATTACGTGTGTTTTTATGGAATTTTCTAACTTAAATTAAAATACATGAGTAAAATGTTAAATAATTCATCTATTAAACATATTTGATAAATTTATCCAAAACAAAAGGCTATTAGTCATTTAAGGGGAAGTTGGGGGCACTATAGCATCTTTGAAAGGCATTTATGGTCTTTCCAAGTGACTACTGATCTACTAAGAAAGGCCTGTGAAATTAGGTGCTTCATAGAATTTGCAAATTTTGTTATTCAACAAAAAAAGAAAAGAAGAAAAGAAATTATGGGTTTTCTTTTGGGAAAATAGAAACTTATAGGGTACTTATCGGCCATTCTAACATTTAAATTTCTGATCACCAGATTGCTTTTTAGATTCGAACAATATTTTAAAATCCGACGATCTGGGTTAGGAGTCCCCCTATCCATATCAGATTCAGTTGGTGGGAAATCAAGAACCCAACTGAGATCCTCAAATACCATTGTTTTCTTTATTCTTCTACCCAGTTTTCCAAAATTCATGCAATTTGGATCGGTATAGGGTTCTGGTTTTAAAACATCGGGTACTACAAAAGAGAAAGCGGTTTTAGGTTTTAGAATTTGCATATCCAAAATTTGACGCATAACCAGGTTTTGTAAATACCAGGTCCCAACGACCCATTAGTATACTTATCTGATATCATCATTGCCTACTTACATTAAAATTAAAATACCGTAAGGTAACAAAGTGATTAAGCCATCATAAAAAGAAACCTCTTTAAGACAAAAACAAAAAAAAAGCCTTACCTTTACCAGAAAAAAAAAAAAAAGTCCAAGATACTACTGATTCGGGTTATATTATAAGGTTTTAACTTTTGGAACTTACACCAAAAAAAACAAAAATCCAAGATACTTCTGATTCGAGTTATCTTATAAGGTTCTAATTTTTGGAACTTACCTCCCCACACCCAATCAATAACATAAAATAATAATAATAATAATAATAAAAGAAAAAAAAAAAGAGAAAGGAAAGAGGTTAAGAGAAGATACTCAAGTCGAAAAAGAGATTTATGCGAAGTCCCACAATTTCCTCAAAACTTGGACCTATTGGAATCTGAAAAAGCACATGCATATGTATTTATGTAGAGACGCATGCCAGTATGAGTTCAAGTTCGGGGGCATAACATGGTATTGAGGGAGTACATTGCATTCTTGCTCCCTTGGGCTCGAAAGCAAAAGAAAATTTTTTAAAAAATAGACTTTGAGTTCTTAAACACTAAAATCTTACCATCTAAAAATTCGACCGGCCTATTTAATCTTGCATGATTATTTTTCGTAGGCCCATGTAAAGTTTGTTTAAATTTGTATTATTATATTAGTTGTTAGATTGAAGAGGTTATATCTTCAAAATTTTAAGGTCTTAAAAAGTACTCCCATATTGACAAGCTTATATCTAATTAAAAGGCATCAAGAAAGAAACACAAGGCACTTATATTTGTACATTGAGGTTATAAGTTGGAACCTGCCTATCCATCAAAGAAATGTACATAGAGATGCTACTTTCAAGATCCAGCCCAAGGCAAAGGAGTTTAGGGTGGTGGGGTGTCACAAAGTTTGATTTAAGTTTTATTCCTACCAGCTCCCTAATTACCATTAAAGTAATAGAATTTTCTGCCATTTCCAAAATAGGTTTTGGGTAACTCTTTGCTCAAAGAGTTACTAACACTATGGGCATTTCAAGAAAAGGTCTGTGATCTATGTGGTTAAGAAATGTTTAGAGGAGACAAATTTGTTATATTTTTAATTTTTAAGTTAATTACAAAGCATATATATTTTAATTTTAAGGTTTATTTTTAGGATTTTTTATATTTTTAGAAATTCTATATTTTTTTTATACTTTTAAGATTTTTGGAATTGTTTAAAATAATTAGAGTATTTATAAAATAATTTATTTTATCAAGAGTAAAATTATCATTACAAATTTTGTATTTAAGCTATGACTTTTGAGTTATTTTAATTATTGTATGCGTATTTAATGTCTTTGAACATTAAATATTATTATTTAAGAGGTGCATGGGCCTAGAGGTGTCATTCCACATAATTTTCAGAATTAAAAAAGAAAGAAAACCTTAGACCTTTGAAAACACCAATTTGATGAGAAGAAAACTTTAAGTCTTCCAGATTTTATCGTTCTATCGATTTCTCTACATCAATTTTTAACTGATTTAGAGTACTATACTTAAGGGTAAAAATATGGGAAACATTACATGAGATTTGGCATATTTCATAGTAGACAAAGGTGATCCTTATTATTCGATCTGAATCGATAATTGAGATAGATTTAGTCACAATGTCAAGCCTATATTGTTTTATTTTTTAATTTTTTGAGAAATTATATTACATAAAACTTGGGTCGGTCTCTTATCAATATGTGGCACAACTAGGAAAGCAATTGATAAAAAAAAAAAATGTAAACATCCCTACAGTTATGGAGTTAATTTGATCTTCTTCTTTTTTATCATAAATGCTTCTTTTTTTTTTAATTAAATGGGCCCCTATAAGAGATGTGCACGACCCAAATTTCACTTCAAAATGATGTATAAAATAAAAATAAAAATAACAAACTATGAACCATTCGATCAAGAATAGATGCTTGAAAACCTGCTTCGCATGAGCTATTAAAAGGTTATATAAATGGTACAAAATTGATAGCAATAATTGAGCAATTATGTAATGAATGAAAATATGACTAAGCCTTTCTTTATAATATATTAGACATTTGCTTAGTAAATTTTCTTTGTGATATTTAAATATAACTAATGAAAGTGATACATCAAATTAAGTAACAAAGGGAATGTTACTGAGATCATAAATTAAATTATAACTATAGTTAGTAAATATATAATCAACTAATTAATTTAAATTGTTACTATTATAACTCAATATAATATTGCATTACCATCATCATCCATTTACAAAATAATAATTATATAGCATACTTATAATATTTAATTAGGGTTCTACTTATTTGTGTACTTGTTATAACATTCTTTTTCTTTTTTTGGGTACGTGTACTTGTTATAACATTCTTAGAATACTACAAATATATCGTTAGTATTATTTAATAGTAATTACATCAATTATAATTTTAAATTTTATAATTATTATTATTTTCAAAATAATTAATATAATGATTTAAACAATTATAAGTAGAATATGAGGGGGCACCATTGAAAATATACACCTTTGCAATGCCTTTTTATTTTATATGTGATTGGTGATGCCACATGCAGAGAATTCACTAAAAAAGTTGCATAAAGGGGGTCCAATGGTTAACAATTCCTCAAAGAGAA